TATTTTGTAAGCATACGGTAGATCTTAGGTTGTCACATTGCAAAAAAAAAATAATAATAAATATTTAATTTGTTTTGATTTTTAAAGACGTTTATTCGATCTTTCAGTAGCGCCTGTTTGATCAGTTATCGTAGTGGTCGCCGTCTGGCCAGAGTTTTCAGTAGTATCTGCTGTGATGGTTTCTAACCGCGAAGTTGTGATTGTCACCGTTCGCTCAGAGTAAAAAACATACCAATAACTTGTCGGCTCATAAGATACGGTGGTATAAAAAACAGTGGTTGTAACGGGATCCTTTGTGGTGGCACTTTTTATCTCACTTGTAGTCAACGGTACATTAAGTGTAGTAATATTAGTGATATACAACATAATAATTATTGCCACTAATGATACTATATGTATTAGTCTTATTGACCATGATTTAACTTGTAAAATCCTATCATCGCTAGACCTGTTTCTTAGGTCAACTTTTTTCAGGTCAGAATTAATGCTGTATTTCAGTTTCTCGGCACTATCCTTGCGATTCTGTGCTTCGCTCAATAACCCTTCTAAAGGCCTCATAAGCGAAGAAATACTTGCCCTTTCTCCTGAAAGTTGCTCAAAGTAAGAAATCATGTCGTCTGCATATGATGCCATTTTCTGGCATTCTGTTGCACGTAGAATGGTTAATGAACGAAAAGTTTGACCCTGCTCAATGACATCTTCAATTTGTACGGGTGTTTCTTCGCATTTGTTAAAATATTTTAATATATCGACAGTTGTTTTTTTAAGAAGGCTCAGATCAGGAACAAGTAATCGTTCCCATTGTTCTAAATCAATAGTTTTCATTTTAAAAATCTAGATGGTAAAAAATCGATTAAACGAAAGCCTTCGTAAACAGAGCTATTATATGAAAACTTCGCGATTATACTCAATAGCACAGAGATAAATTATAAAGAAACCAAAGAAGAACTTCAATGGTTAAAAAGTGTTAAAAGAACAATCAGACCGTGAAGGGGATGTGCGGCGAAACGGAATGGAGTAATAAAACTTTTTGTGGAAATAATGGTCACATAAATATGCTAAATACTTGCCTCATACAGTATATTGTATGTACAGTATATACAGTACTGTATAGAGATGGTAAAAATATTTTCGTAGAAACAATCAATGGTCACATATGAATAGGCCAAATTTTAAGAAACAATGGTCACATATGAATAGGCTAAATTTTAAGAAACAATGGTCACAATCACAGAGATTTTTTTTCCAATTGTAAATACGGTAACATCGGAGATGTTCCCCGTGTTGCATGCATTTTGTATTGATTTGCCTACCGTGTGAAAAAAATATGTAATTCATACCTATTTGAACTATCTTTTTCTTATAAGTCACGGAAATTTCACTTGAAAAGAATGCAAATTCAGCTGAACGCAAGATGCAAAAATGCAACACGGAAAACACCCACTTTGTCATTTAAAATCGGAAGAAAATCTCCGTTTGATCACACACTGATAAGGCAACCATTTTTTGAGGAAATAATGGTTAACTTTGGTAATGAAATAAAGTGTCGAGAAAATGATGGGTAGAGACCTGTGGATGCATTTAACTATATGAAGAATAATCTTGTCGGACTTGGGAGATTTCTTTATTCGAATTTTTAACCATCTCATCTGTGGCTGTAAAAGTTTTTTATAAATCTGATCCCTATTCGTATCTTTCGCTCATTGTGACAAAAAAATTTGCAGTATATCGTGTTCCTCCCAATTTTTTAAAAAATCAATCACATAATAAAAAAATGGAAAACGAACCTCAAGATCCGTTGCTTGACCTACAATTGGTATCGTCATCCGTTTCACGGGCATTTCGCCTTTTTACTAACTGTGAGGCGATGGAATCTAAGAATACCACTATAATGAAAGCCATTGAATCCGTAACAAATCAACGGAATGCGTTTTACACCCAGGCTCGTAGATCAATCGGATACGTGGAATCTTTACGAAAACACGCTGAGGACGTCTTAAACTATGTTAAACTACTTCAGGATCAAGAAAACACCCTGGAGAACAAACGATCAACTTTGGACAAACTCTTAGAAGATGCCAAAGAGAACAGAGCAAGTTGGAAATATATGAAGGAAGCTTTTGAACAGATAAGAGAATCTCTATCAGATACACACAAAGAGCTTACAAAATATAAATTCGAACTTCCGGCTAAAGAGAGGGAGAGAAGATCCAAAAAAAGAAATTTAGATGAACTAAATAGTTTAATTACAATCAAGTATACGGTGGCGGCGGGTAGTATGTTCTTTTGTATCCTATCATTTGTATTTAGTACGTTGCCCGACCTTCATTATTTGCAACACGCTGCCCAAGTTTGTCTTGTTTGTGGAATATCGGTTTTTTATTGGATACTTTCGGATCATAAGACCATCCGCAAGCTTAAAGATGAGCTGGACGAAATGGACGATACCTTGGATAATAGTCCTGAAAAGATTAAGGACTTGCGGGGAACTCTCGATCCAATCGTTGAATGTATGGTCGAATTTGAAGTGTTTTGGGAAACTGAGGAGAATAGAATATCCCATCTCATTCGAAATTTAGAATCGAACCAAAAGCCAGACGAAAAAGATTTACTTAATTGGAATATTTCGACTGCACCTATCAGAAATAAATGGTACGGAGTCCAGCAACAATGTGATAACTACAGAAATGTGGTTAGCCAACTTTTGAAAAGCATCGGGGACTAAATTAAATGGTTAGGATCGATCCTTTTTTTTTTTTCCTTCAAAAATTCTAATTTAAACTTATTCAGCCTGAATAATCTGATATAGTAATTGAAATACAGAATAAGGTATCAAAAAATTTAAAAAGAAAAACATCTTTTGAAGAAATTACGAAGAACCACGGTCTAGTGCACTTAGCCGTCAAATGAAAATAGTGTGGAAAGATGAATGTAAAATACATGCATAGAATTTATTCTTGAGAAAATAGTATTAATTAATTATTACACTCGTCTTCACTTATATTGTATGATGGTCGGTCAAAGACGCGACTAGTCATGCGGCCGACTTATGCGTGGGTAACGCGTTCGACAATCAAATTAGAGATTCTTCCTTGATAATACAATTGTAATAAGAATATATTATATAATAAAAAAACCATGCTTTTCTCGTAGCTCTCATATTCATTTTTTTCATGTTTGTTCTACAATAGTCTATTGTGTAAAAAGTGTAAAAACGCGTTAATAAAACTTTAATAAAGTGAAAAAGAACAAAAATTTTAATATAAAAAAATTAAAATTAAAATAAAAAATATATTTACAAACTAGTCCAATTAAGATTATTTGGCTATCAAATTGTATCCAATTAAATTCAAATTTGTTAATAAAAATTTTTACTAAAGTTGTATTGTTTGGTTTGATTTATGTCACTTGATAATTAAAAATACACAACTATTTAAAAATAAAATATAACAATTAATAATTGAAAAAATAATGTAAGAGTTTAAATGTATTGAAACAGTTCAAATAATGAACTTGTAATTTGAAAAAAAGGAAACCACAGAAAAAGACACAAGTGTTTATTTAAAAAATAAGTATTTTTATTAATTCAAAAACAAAGTACAAGGTACAAAAATAAAAAGTTCTCTTTTTTATAACTATTCTTTTATTACATAAATAAATATAATATAAATAAATAAAAATACATATTATTAATATATAAACCCTTATTGGTTCTTTTGAAAGGCCAATATATCACAAATGTAAAATAAAAAATAAAAAATAATATAATAAAGGTTATATATGCTTAATAATAATCTCCTGTTTTTCAAATAAATATAAATACAATTAAACACAATTAATAATAAGAAATTATTAATGATATTCTGGAATGTTTTATAAAGTCCTAGTATATTTCAGAAAGTTTCAGGATGTTTTCAAGTATTCTAAATGTTCTAATATATTCTGATTATATGTTGTATAGTACAAAAGGTGTAACAAAATGGAAAAATTGTTACAAAAAATTTCAGAAATTAAAAAAATTAAATTATTTAAAATAAATTTATTTATAATAAAAAATTTACAAATTTTAACAATAAAAATATTAAATATTTGATAATTAAAAATTTTTTTATATTAAATTTTTATTAAATTTAATATAATAACAATTAAATATATAATATTTTTAATCCTAAATTTTTTACAAAATTATTCTATATTATATATTTCACAAAATTAAAAAATTAAAATTTACAAAAATTTGATTATATTGTATATTTTTTAAAAAAAAATTATATTATAATATTTGACAAATTGTAATTAATTTATTAAAATATATTTTAAAAATATATATACAATAATTTATAAAATTTAATCAAATTATATTAAAATTTTCTTTTTCAATTTTTTTATATTGATTTTTATATTGATTTTGTTATAGTTCTTATAACTTTTAAAATTTTTTACATTTCAAAATACTTTTGACTTTTAATATTTTTTAATATTTTTTTATTTTAAAATATTGTTTTTTGAATTTCTTCTATTTATTTTTTTGTTTAATTTCATGTTTATTTTTATTTTTTTTTTTAATACTGGCTTGCCTATAGCGAGAGCTTTATTAACATTTACTTATTATATTACAAAGTTTTGTAATACATATTATTTCAATGTTAAGAGATATACAGAGGGTGATCACAGGTATCGGAACGATTGGATAGTGATTAATTAAGTGATGATTTTTTATATATATAAAA